TATTGTTTACTGTGACTCTGATTCAATTTCTCTATTTTAAAGTAGGAGACTAATAATCCTAATGTCTGTCACCTGGAGTCTGCCCAGCTCTGATTCAATAATTATCATGCCTTTGGTTTAGGAACACTGTTCTTCCAAGTGACATGAGCAATTTACATAGACTCAAAAGATAGCACCTAAAGGATATGCCTGCTTCAGTTCCTTCTTTGTGAATGTGACACTGAAATCAGTAAAGTGGATATAATTTCATGTTTCACAGATGTGCAGCAGACTCTTGCCTTTCCTGGCCATTTCTGTCCTTCAAATTTCTCATGGTTTGCTCCAGGATCAAACTCACCTTTGATTGTGTTGTCTCTCGTGATGTCCTGACAGCAGTAGGGTTCTCAGGGAGACAGGTTAACAACTGAAAAAGAATTCCTTTGATAAGACTGAGTTATAGATCCTGGGAGCAGTCTTTATTTACTTTGTTGTCCCCATCACCCATGTGTGTATATATATATATATGTATATGTATGTATGTATGTATGTATGTATATATATGTATATGTATGTATGTATGTATGTATATGTATATATATGTATATATATGTATATATATGTATATGTAAATGTATATATATATATACTTTTTTTTTTTTTGCACCACCACCTTCTATTTATCTTCCTCTCTGGGACTTTCTATTTTCCAAGAGAATCCAGGTCACATAACCCTAGCTCAATCTCCTAGTATAACTCAAACTTGGATTATGGCAACAGCCTTCGGTAATTCTCATGTTTCTATCCTTGCCCTCTAATACTTCTTGAATTTGGTACCAGACTAAGGCTCTAGTACCTCTCCCAGCCTGACTGTATACTATGTCCACACATGGATTTCTGCTCTTGCCAGCCAAATGTACTTATTATCAGCTAAACAGGACTAGCTTAGTTTTCTTTTAGGCAAATTACAGATGCTATTTTCTGCACTTAGGAAATTCCCATGCTTCGTCATTGTTTCCTCTATTTCAAAAGGCTTTCATGGTAAAGTTTACAGTGAATTGTCTATCTCAATTAACTACCTTGCATGCACAATATCAATTTCCCTATACTGGAATATGATTCACAAATAGTTCCTTCTGTGTGCATATGGTGACTAAATCATATTAGAACATGTTCTTCAATTTTGAGAAATATTTATGTGTGCACTTCAAAAAATCATAAAAAATGGAATTAAAAGAACAGTTTACTTTGGTGCAGCTTGCTAAATTGTTCATGGATTTTTTTCATACCATGCATTCTCAAACTGCTTGAATTCACCAATTATTTGGTGATTTTTTTGCATCAAAATTATCTCAACTTTTACTTCCATTATTCTATGAATTCTCTGGCATATCCTTGTATTACACTTCATGTGGTGACCAGTACAGATTAGGTACTCAATAAACATTCATGATTGACTTTAATAACATATGGAGAAAACATCGCTGAGCAAACAGCAGTGAGTGTTTGGGAAGATAAGTTGAGATGGATGTGAGTGATTTTACAAGTTCTGATCTCACAGTAATGAAATGAAGCACTGTACAATTGTGCAAAGTTAACTGTGGCTGATTTCAGTTCTAAAAAAATGCAAGTTTGATACAAAAAGTTTGAAGTGAATGATTATTGTTTATCAAAATGTCCCATACATTCATCAGAGAGCCTTAACGCTCAATCACTGTGACCTCCTATCAGACATCTTAGAACAAAAATGCATGAGTAATAGAGAAATTGGAGCCAGCAAATTTTCAACATTAAGTTCTCTCCCAGAAAAAAGCAACAACAATTGCAAGTGTTAGGACTAAACTGATCACTATGGGAATATTTTTTGACTTGAGTCTGGTTTTATCTGTTCACTATTTCACCTTTGGGGATGACTGCAAGGACTATAAAGATTTCCATGTGCAATATTCAGGATATTTCCTTGGCCATTAATTATCTGGAAAATACTTGGTTCCAAAAAAAAGCAATTTATTTAAAATAAAATGTCAAAAAGCAGGAAATATTTTAAACCAATGGTCCCATAGTCTTATAAATCCTGCAAATATCAAGCAATTCAAATAATCTTGTTCCTTTTCTTGCCAGGATTTTCTTCTTCATCACACTTTCTATTTTCCAACTTGTTGCAGAAGTAATCCTTTGGCTACTACTCATTTATATGACCTATTGAACTCCAATATACACTTCTCTTCCATAATCAAACTCTTGATTCCCTCTGTGATCATACCCTGCTTCTCAAAAGTAAGTGCCACAATAGTAACCATTAATCCTCACACCAACACTTATAAATCTTTATATATATATGCGTGTGTATATATATGTATATATACACATAAATCTTTCACAAAATATTGTCTAACGTTCATGTCTTCCCAGAAGCCTGCAAGTATCTCTCTATCCATGATTTTGAATGAATGCTTAAAAGCAGAACAGCTTTGGGTCTAATTCAGTCAAGGTTTTGAAGTGGCAAAGAGGGACATCTTCTTTTCAGAAACAACATACTTGGATTGGGGTCCACAAATTATCAAAGCCTTTAAATTTCACATCATACCAAATTTAGTACATATCTACTTCATCCATCACTGGACCTTGTTTGCTCTTAATATATGCCTTTGTGTCCATTGATCCTGTGTGTTTCTCATTTTGTCATCACTGCTGATATTTTCAGCATGTTTCACCTTAAAAATAACTTCAAATATTTGAAGTGTATTTTCTGTGTGATAAGAACCTTGTTGTGAATTCATGAGCAATAACTTACAATAGTGCTTCTCCACATTTCCAAAATCTATGTCAGTGAAAAATTGAGAAGAAAAATGTTTTTCCACACTCTGAATGCAAGTGGAAGAATATATCATGTTCTAGACTAAATACTTACTATTCCCTTATTGGTTATATCTTTCAAAAATCTTAGATGAAAATTAAATTTTATGTTGCCATCTAGAAATAAATTTTTATAGATAGTGTACACATTGGTTCCTGAAAATGGCAGAAAAGGTTTCTTGTCAAGTTCCCCAGCACAAGTGTGAATGCTCTGTTTTTGAGTACCTACTAGTAGTGAAAGGACACATTGTGGCCAGCCAACTCAAATTGCTACCCACGTTTAATCATTGTAAATAAAGGAAGCAGAGAGATCTATGTTATATTTTCAGAACTGGCATGCTCAATACAGAACTACTAGTTTAAAAATATCGGTGAACATTCTATTTGAATTAATCTAGATTTCTGTGAAATATAAAATAATAAAAATACAATGGATCATTTAAACACACACTAATCACTTCATGCAGATTATCAATTTAGTAATTGCACATAGCATTAAAGAACATAGTAAACACAGCTTTATAATACCTGTAAAACAGTTCAAATTTGAGAAACTTTCATTTTGAAATACCTATAGGTTTTACAAAAGTAAAATCACCGTTCTCAGTGGGAAAAAATACATCCATGAAACATTTACATTTGTTGAACAGGACTTTTCAAAGGAGTAGCTAATTGTCCTACTGTGAAAAGAGCATGTGTTACTGCTAAATTTTACATACTGTTGGTGTCTAACTCAATTTTTGAATGGCTGGATACAGAAATGCAACAGAGAAATAAGTACGTTGAATAAAACTCATGGGTCACAGGGAACCAATAATGGAAAGAGGTTGAAAAATTATCAAAGCATATTATCTAAGTCTCTTATACACTTGGGTTTCACAGTTACTAGGGATAGGCAAATTATTAATTTTTACACTCTTTGTACACTTGTCCTTGTTGGTGTTTGTCCAAGAACAGGATTTAAGGATCATCTGCAAAATGTCAGAATCAATTTTGATTCACAATTGACTCCCACAGGCATCTAAGGTGGACAGCACATTGAATCTGAATAATTGGAAAGAACATATAGCAGCAATTCACAATAAATACTAGACTAGGACACATTCCTTATGGCAAATACACAATATCTTAGATTAGTCACATAGATTTTCTGGTATGGTACAGTCACAATCATTAAGGAGGAGTGGAGAAGTAGAGGAGTCTGGTCTATCAAACATATTCTTTGAAGCACTGGGACTAGAAATACTTCTGCAGGAGCCTTGTGTACATTGTCAAGCAGATACTGGGTAGACACTGAGTAGTCTGTTTCACAATTATATTGCAGATGAGAAACTGCAATTGCTTCTCTACTATTAAAAAACTTGGATCATTTAGCACTTTATCTGTGAATATTGTATTCTTTGCAATGGCTGAGACGCACAGTCAATGTGTATTTAAACTCCAATGATGCTGTAAATAAAGGAAGGAAAGTGCCACATCTTCATATAAAGCTTATAGCAGATCAAGAGATTGTTTGGATTAAAAAAATCCAAATGTAAATTTGCTAGAAAACAATACAGTATGCAATTTAACATGTATATTCAAAGTTTTGGAAAATTTGACACAAGTGAGAAAGCCATAGGGTTTAAAATAATCCTCAAAAAATCACCACCTTTCTAATCATTTGCTTAAGAAATTAACATTATTTACCTACCTATCAGTTTGCCTACAGACAATATGCTTGCCTCATAAGACTAAAAACTATTGTTATGAACTGTTGATTTAGTCTACATAAGCTGTCCATTATGTTGAAGAAGATCTAAATGTTTCAAACATTTTTGTCTTAGTTGATTCTCTACACACATTCTCCCAAGTCGAGTTCCTTCAACTTTTTCTTGATAGTTCTTGATTTTTCAATTATTCTGAGTTTTTTGTTCCCTTAAACTTAGTTCAGAACTTTCACATTCAAAGGAAATATTTCATGTGTCCTTAGTTCAAATACCACTTGAATACTGAAATAGTCATTGATATGGGGAAGATAGCTCACCTCCTGAGCTTGCAGTTTATGTAGTATCATCAAACTTCTCCTGTAAAACAACAGAACTTTAAAACGATTCTTTTCAGGAAATCAAAACTGTACACTGGAACAAGGTGCCAAACTACAAAAGAAGTCTTTCTTTCTCCCCCCGCCCCACTACTCTAAAAATGTAAACAAAAATATCTAAGTACAAAAGTGAATTGTGTGCCTTTTCTCTTCAAACACGCTTTCAGCACCTCAGTGTTATTCGTTGTACTTTATGCTTGGTGTAGCAGACATTCCACTTCTATAGCTGTTGGGAACAATTCAGGTTTCTCATTACCAAATATCGCTGGTGAAGCTAAGCTCTTTGGATGATAAAGGTAGCAGGGAACTGTTCCTGGGAAATTCCTGTGATTCTTTCAAGGCATTATTATGGGACAGCTGTCCATTGAGTAGCGTCAGAGGCAGATTACAGTAAGTATGGTGGTTGCCCAAGGATGGAACTGGCAAGGTGGTGGTTGGCATCTCATGTTTATAACCTCTGCAACAGTGTCTCATTTGCATTGAATCTGAAGGATGGAAATCAGGGAGATCAGCTTGAGGTGACACCAGAGAGGCCGAAGTATTGGTCATGGCAATGGAAGGTATGGGCTGGAGTTCTCCAAAGAGTCCTTGTTCTGCAGACTCTAAAATATGGCACCGAGACAGAATTTCTCTTCTCTTGATGGGCATTTCATATATTAAGTGCTTCCAAAATTTAGAATTTAATTTGCTGCTTTTTGGTCCCTTCCACTTGACCAGAGATAGAAGTTTGATGTTGCGCTTTAGTGATTCTATTTCCTGGGAATTCACCTTACCCTTGAATTCTGAACACTCAATCAGTATCACTTTGATTTCTCCACTGACTAGCATGTTATGGAGTCTGCTTTCCAGTTCGAAAATACTCCATCCCCGTCTGAGTATATAGTCAGGAGTTAGCACGATAATAAGTCTTCTGCTTTGCTCAATGCATCTTGTGAGATCTTCTACGTATGCTATAAATCACAGAAAGAGAGAGAAAGGGTAAAACAAAGACATTGCCAGTCTTTAAGCATAGGTTTGTACTCTAGCATAGCAAAGGTGCAGTCTTTTGCTAAAGTCCGTCACATTTTCTTTTCTTGTATTGTGCATTCAGAAAGCCCATCTCCTTAAAAATTAAAAAAAGATAGAAAAATAACTGCTTATAAATGTTATTTTCTTTGCTCTCATCATTACTTACAGTGTTCTGTTGACTTGCATAAACCATGACTGCTTCAGAGCTTAGGTGTATTTCAGTGATTTTTTATTTATTTAATCATTTAATTCAAGGCAGGCTTCCAGGCTAGTACTCTAAGTGAACAAACCATCAACAGGTCGATGAAAAGAAAAATAGAGCCTTTTAATACATACAGGGTTCTGTATTTTGGGGACTTGGATTGCTTTCCCTCTCTAAATTTCTTCCCTTTATGCATATTATCTATTTTAATTGACAAATAGTCATTGTATATATGAATTCTAATGTTCAACTACTAAACGTGTGTGTGTATGTGTGTGTATGTGTGTGTGTGTGTGTGTGTGTGTGTGTGTTTGTGATGTGTGTGGACTCTCTCTCTATTTATTTATTATTTATTTTATTTTTTAGCAAATCCTCCTCAGCTTGTTTCTCAGATTACCCTTAGTCATTTGAAAACCTGGGCTCTCTCTCTAGTTCTTGCAACTCAGAGAGGAAAATGGGGTGTGCCTATGGCTTTAATTTGAACCAGCTGCTTTTCCTTCTAAGCAATAGTGAAGGGGGTAGAGTTGGAGGCAGGGGATGGTATTGAATGAATGCGAAAGGAGGAGGAGTCTATCTCGTGAAATAATGCTGAAAGTTAGGTGAGCATGTATGTCCCCCCCCCCCCCTTTTGGGAGGTACAACAATACTGAACAAGCCCTAAATATATTTTTTTTTATCCCAGAAAACAACCCCTATGCAATCACATTTTCCCAAATCTTTTATGCCAAAAGGAAACATACACATGTTAACAAATGGAGCTACCTTTCCTAAGTGGAGCACAGGGCCTTGTCCAATGTGCAGTGTGCTCTAGCTGAAGCAGTGCTTACAGAAGCATAGCAACATTTGTGGTTCCAAAGCTGTCCCAGGGTTACAGACTGCTTTCAAGATGTTACATCCAGCACACAGTGTGGGCTCACCAAGCGGCCCAGTACATGCCATTTGAAAAGAGAAACAAATTTTACAGATGCATGCTTTACAGATGCATGCTTTACAGATGATCTTCTTGTCCAGGGTTTTTATATGCTCTACTTGGCGGCAAGCGAAAGTTTCACAAGTGCAAATTTGCAAACTTTCTCTACACCCTACAAACTTGAAAAAGAGATACATATAGAGTTGCCATTGAACAGTTTGTTGTTACTGCTATTTTGGATTTTGAGTGGAGATACATTGCAGTACTTGCTCATGCAGTAGTTACAGTGACTGGTTCTGAAGAGATCAGGCAGTTTCTAAGTCAGAAGAGAATCTCCTAAGAATTTCGAGTGTCTTAGAGATTATGTATTCAGGGGGGAAATCGGCATTGAGATTCTGCAAGAACAAAATGAAACACCACACAAGTAGCAACAGGGGAAGTGATCACTTGGGAATTAGCAGAGAACTGCTGAAGTAGAATGGAAGGAAAGGCAGAAAGTTTCAATAGAGTGGAAAAATATTATCCCAATGAATCAACAGCTCTGACTCTTCATTTTCTTCCTTTCTTTCTGCTCCCAAAAAGAAAGTTATGTGGGAAGCTTCATCATAAGAAGTTGGATCTGTAAGATACAGTAAAATAAACTATAATGCATCTTTCCCATTATTCTTTTCACCTTTTCTCCAAAACCAAAACCAAAATCAAACCCAAACCCAGTATCATGGTATTGTACAGGAATCCACAAAAGACAGTTTTCCCAAATGAATTGTAGTTAATTGTTCATTTTTAACACTCCTTATACTCCTTAGAAAATAATGTACCAAGAGATTACTTTGGCTTATATTCCTCTTACATTAATTGCACGTGGTTATTTCATATTTTAATCGCCCTGTACAAACCTTGTCTGCAGCACACTGTCACATAAATTATACCTTTAGTTACCTCTATTTTGGGGATGTGGTATCTATTTTTAACCATGCTCTTAGAAACAAAAGCTACATCTATACATTTTTCCATATATGTAAAGAAAAAAAAATTACAAGTCAGGCATGTGTGGTAGCTCGAGAAGCCATGCACATATGTACTCATGACCTTACTGGGATATTATGGGCTTTGGTTTGCTACTCCATTTCTGGGATGGGGAAGGAAACAGGGCCACATTTTTTTTCCTGTGATGATTTTTCCCCTTTCACTGGTCTATTATATTTTGCCATTTGACAGAAAAGCAGAATGTAACATTTAGGGTTCCTGGGGCTTCATTGAGGCTCATTAGACAGAATTCACATTTGCCCCCAGAACGGCTGCCTGTCAGGACAGATCCCACTATGCTCAGCTGCACAGGGTGTGGGTGTTGAAGGGAACCTTGGAGAGAGGGAGTGGTCCCTGTCTCCTGCGTACTACACTGGCTGTGCTTATCCTGGCAAAGGCTAGTGGAGACTTGAGGCAACCATCCAGACAATTCCGGCTGAAAACCTGCTGTGGAAGAAAAAAAAAAAGGTCGAAATTATCCTGGTTTGCCCTATATATACATTAATCATATGCACTGGAGTCAGTCAGTACATCAAAATTTTCCCTGGGCAGACACAGCCCAAGTGTCCCAAAGAAAACACGAGGCATTTGCTTGGGCCCTGGATCTCGTGTTCCATTTCATTTGGTGAGAAACCAAGTGGAAGTTTTCAGATGTGAAGCCCACATTTCACTTCTTGGGACGGTGATCAGTGGCTGGGCAGCGACCTCAATGTTTGAAAGCAGCTGGGGAGGTGCCTCTGAGAGCTGCCTGGCTCTCAGGAAAAGAAGGAGAGACTGTGCCCTAGCTTCCCTATTTTGGCTTACCCTCTGTTTTTCTCTCTATGTTTTTCTCTCATTTTCTGATCCCTCTTTCTCTCTCTTTCCCTCTTCTTTTTTCTCTTTCTCTTTCATATACTTGCCTTTTTATTTCATACTCTTTCATTTTGCCTTTCCTCCTCTTCTCCTCATCTTCCCTTTTCTACCCCTTGCTTCCTTCCTCCCTTGCCCCTGAAATTGTCCCTTCTTTCTCTTTTACTAGGGGGTGGGGGGGGGAGAGAGAGAGACAGAGAGAGAGAGAGAGAATGGCTTAGCTATCATGGAAAATATAAGTAAATGAGCAGGAGAGGAAACAGACCAAGCTCATATTTATTGGTTAATTTATTTTTAAACTTTCTAATGTTACTGTTCTGTGAAATGAATGCCCTGAGTAACTTGCCCCTTACCCAGGGAATGCATGTGTGCATCTGATAGGTATGATCAGGAGCCTAATAGATTAGGCCCATGCCTTGCTTCTGTATAGCTCATGAGCTAAGAAGCATTTTTTTTGCATGTTTAAAGAGTAATTAAAACAAGAAAAAATATGATGCAACTGAGACCATATGTGATCCACAAAGCCCAACTTTTTACTATGTGGATCTTTAAAGGGAAGGTTTGCCACCCCCGAATTAGAGACCAAGCAGGGTGGTTAGGTTTGAAAACATTCCAAATAAGCTAAGCAGAAACAGGTATCAAGTTAAGACACTGCCAGTTCGTAGTGTAGTCTCGGACAGACACTGGGGTTTGCCCTGGTAGGGCTGTGGTTTTGTGGAGGACATTTTAGAAACCTTCAGAAAACGTTTTAAAAAGCTTGCTACCACGAAGAGATAATAAAGAAATCTTTTTTAAAAAAAACCCCTAAATCCACAGCACATACAAATCTTCACTAAATCTTGCCCTGACTTGCTCAGGCAAATTTGGAAACTGAGTAGCAAGAATCCTATAAAATACTCATTTTCCACATAAAAATATGAAATGGCCCTAAAATAAAAGGCTGCCAAGTCATTTTTCTTGCAAATTTTGGTTTTAAGTAACTCCAGATAACAGTAAAGATCAAAAAGCATTCTCTGATGGTTTCCTGTTCCCCTCATCAATTCTGTGAAACTACCACAGATTGTCACAAAGCTAATTCCATCTAACCTAGTTGTGATTTTTGCCATTAGGAAAAAAAATCCTTGGGCACATGGTTTTGATAGGAGTGCTTAAGTTTAGATGGATTCATTTTTCATGTTATAAGTGCAAATGCAAAGAAACTTCTTCTATGCTACAGAGTCAGGAAAATCTTTTAGAAGAAAATGGATTGTCACCAAACTCTCCTTGAGATATGTAGCTCTTATAGAAATGAAGAAAGAGCATGTCACTAGCATCAGCATTTATAGGAAACTGGACACTTAAAACGCCATTTAAAACAAAGCATATTCGCTTTTCAAATCCCTTCCAGAGGCAGTTGTATAAAACAAAATTCAAGCAGGATTGGATCTAGAAAATAACTTGAAAATATGTGCTCACTTGTTAACAAAGCCAAAAAAGCAAAATTAAGGAGTAAATAAAGGGATAAAACAGAAGCAGAAAGAATGGCAGCTTCAAGAAATTTCTCCTAATGGGTGGTGTATACTTTCCCTCAAAGAACTTAGTACTCTGTTAATCCTCAGATTCTCAGTCTGTAATAGAGTTAGGCAAAAAGACAAGGAAGGAAAAAAGTATATGCATTAATTCCTATGTGGTCTTGCTACTGTCTACTAATCTCCTGATTCAGCAAGCTAATCAGTTAGTTCCTTGGAAATAATTTTGGAGTTGATATTTCTACTTATGTTAAGGTCATTATCAGGGGCCATATAACATATTTTCTAAGACATTAAAAAAAAAAACAAATACTGAGCCCAAAAGGTATAATTTATTGTTTAACTTAATTCAAACAATAGTGACTTGAAATGCTTATACTCTCAGCTATCTATAGCAGCTATTAGTTAAAAAGGGCCACCTCATTAAGGTAAGACCTGATGCATGAG